CACCGTCATAAAAAACAGTTTTTAAAAGTGCACTTAGTGCTTTTATCCTAACAAACAACCATTAAAATTTACAAATAACAGATGCTTAGCATTATATGAATTGTATTTTTAGCATATGAAACTTGAGACAACACATGAAGCAGTAAGCACAAGATCACAGATTTATCCTAAAGAAGAGTTGACTCCAAACTGATAAGCAGTATTTAAATAGTTAGGAAAGAAATTTGATGAGACAGATATCCTGATTCTATTTCTAGCAAAAAATGTCATTGTACTTGAAACAAATAAAGGAAAAACTCCCACAACAAGATCATAGCATAAAAGTTCTCACAAGAGTTAACCATAATGAAGTAATTGAGCCAACACAGTGAACGAAAGGGTAGTCTTAAAGCTGAGCAATGATCCATTCATTTTAATAAACCCATACACAAATCACTATCACTACACTACAGCAGGAAGATGACTAGACACAAAGATTAAACATTTACATTTCCAGAAAACATGCGATTAAATATATCTAAAATAACCTAAGAAGAATAAAATTAGCTAAACAAGACAGATTTAGCTAAACTGTTAACAGCTTAGAACGAGCAGAAAGCAAAGGAAAATAAGCGTATGAAAACTTATTGTGAACATCTGGATATATGTTCAGACTTGTTACTAGTTCCCTGCTTACTGTAAAAGGACAACAGGTTAAAACTTGCGTTGCTGCAGAGCCCTCATATATCCTCTTTCTCACTTGAACATTGCATCAGCACAAATCCATGACCCTCAACCAAAAATGAAAATGAAAGGCTTCATTCACTGCTTAGTCCTTCAAAAACTTTGATGAACCTTATAGAAGAAGTGCAAGTATGAATTGAAGTACTGTCTATCTTTTAATATCTATCTAAGTTGGTATCCGAAATGAGGTAACATGTAGTTGAAACAACTATGGTCATCTATATCAGTGTTTATCCTTCTTTGTCAAAAAGATGAAAAAAGAAGTACTCAGCCGTATCATAATTAATTGTCATCTGATCAAAAGCCATGTATGGAAACATGTATCCCTATCATGCTAAAGTAACTCTTCCTTTTTAAAGAAAAGAAGGAAGATGCAACAAGTGCAGCATTCTAAACTCTCCTCCCCAAGAGAGGCTACTTTCCTCTTCAGTAACAAGAGGGTGTGTTCTAGTTCCTTGTACTCTATCCCCAATTTTTCCCTTTTTCTTTCTTTATTTATTCAAAAGACCAAAAATACTGTACATTTGGCGTGGAATATAAACCACCAACTGAGGCACTAGCCATTGGTGAGTTGCCAAAAGCTTCATCCGGACGCTGCAAAGTCCAGTCCTTCCTAAAAGAAAAAATTATGCAAATTACAAGAGTAAGATGGTGTTGAAAAAAAGAGGAGAGGGAAAAGAAAATATTTTAGAAAATAAAATGAAAGACGTGCCAAGATCACCAGAACAAATCTATTTCTAAGAGAAAGATAGATGTCAAGGAATCAACTTATCACCTCAAAACAAAAAACTAGCATCACCAAGTTACAAATCCATAATCAAAGTCCAAATACGCTTATCAGAAACATAAAAATAAGCCAGAATAGGAAGGATTATACCATGCATATTCATGACCTACTTTTGCAATCCAAGTCAATCTCATGATTTTTGTTATGAAAAAACTCAAAATATAACACCCTTCGGGGTGGCCCAGTGGTTTGGGCTTGGGACTTCCATGTTGGAGGTCTCAAATTCAAAACCCCTTGCTAGTGAAAGCAAGGGGTTTGCCTTCTGGGTCGAGCTCGTCGCACCGGACTTGCCTAGTGCGGGTTACCTCTCCTATGTGGTTTGCGAGCTATTGCATAGGAGCGGGGGTTTTAACCTGTACGCACCCAAAGGGTAGCGGCTGAGGGTTTCCCTTGTCATCAAAAAAAAAAAAACTCAAAATATAGTGCTTGCTTTCATTGTATTACTACAACTATGCCTCAGCCTCAATATCTAATCCGCTCCACTTGGACTCATCTTAACCAGAGCAATGCATGCTTAGGTGAGCACATTCCAATGTATTGCGAAGAAAAAACCACATAGAATTGCTAAGAATTATTGTCAATATACCACAATTATTTTACCAGGCACAACTTACTATCTGCCTACAAGCTATAAGGCTCGGACTCTTCAAAAATGTCGACGGGTGCATGTCGGATACTCCAAAAGTAGCACATTTTGGAGAATTTGACATGGGTGCAGCAATAATTTTGGAGAGTCCGAGTAACATAGTCTACAAGTACTCAATTAAGCTAATGAGCCATAGGTCGCAAGCAATTCATTTAAGCCACTCGAGTTTCACGAGACTAACCAATAAGTTGTTTTGAGCTAGTAGTAAATATTAAATAGGAATAAGTGGAGGTTCCAATAATTTGTTAAGATAGGCAACTTAACAAAATGTTTTCTTAGTTACCCTTTTGTCAAAAAAAGAAAGTTTGAAGGTGAGGGAGGAGAGAGAAGATGAATGTTGATTTCCTTTCATTATAAACAGAAATTGTTCTTGCCCTTTATTTGTCTAGTATAGCTGGAAGGAGGTAAAGTGGCATCTACTTTCTCCGTCCAATTTTGCAGGAATGAGAAAAACTAGTGTTTATTACATGCTTTTTATTTTTTAGTTGAAGCATTCTCCAAAGGTTATCTTGAGTAAGGATTGACTTCCTGATGGTTCTCCATGTAAAACACATGATTTGATTGGGGAATTTAGTTCTCCAAATCAGCTTCCAAGGCCAGTAATAGGTCTCTTCATTTTGAGCACACAATTTACCATAACATGCCTAGACTGACTAAGATCCCATACTTGAACTACCACATCTTAACGACTTAGCAAGTCACTGTCCTGGGGGTGACTGTGCAACCTTCTAAAATTCTGTAAAGATCAAAGATCTCCTTTACCCTCCCCAGACCCTACTAGTGGGATAACACTGGTATGATGTTGCTGTTGAGGAGGAGGTCTCATGAGGTTCCAACTCTATGTTGTGCTACTGTTGAGTTGCGGTTCACAGCTAGCCGATAGAGGCTTAGATGAGGGATCCTACGGGGTTGGTTGTGAAGCCATTTATCATTCAAAAAACTCACTAAATTTCCATTTCCAACTAAAAAGGAGTCATCAAGAAAGAAATCATCCCTGAGCTTGCTTATGTGTTTCCTGGGCCTTGTGCTGGTGCTCCAATGACTTTGTTTCCCATACTTGCCAGTCACCACCCTTGGCCATATATCCACCATCATTTCAAAAGCAGGCCATTATTGTGTTTGGATGTGTCTTTGATTCCCAAACCCCCTAGGTTCTTTGGTTGGATAACCTTTGGCCAGTCCAACAGATGAATTTTTATGACCTTCACTGTTGCCTTTACGTAGGAATACATAGGAATGTTCTCCTCTATCAAGCTACTTCAGGACCTTAGAAGGCATAGGAAAGAAGGACATGATGTAGGTAGGTATACTGTCAAGAACATTATTGATTAAAACCAAACTGCCACCCATAGAGAGGTATTGCATTTGCTAGATAACTAATTTCTTCTCTACCTTTTCTATCACACTATTCCATACTTCAGCAGCCTTGTAGTTTGCTCCCAGGGGTAAACCTAAAATAGATTGGAGGGAAGAAGCATATACCACAATCCATAATTCCAGCCAATTTGTCCACAATTGCCACCTCATTAACACTTTTTGATATGTTGATATGCACACCTGAGAGTGCTTCAAAGAGGAGCACTATGACGTTGAGATATTGCATTTGTAGTTTCTTAACCACAAGTTATACCAAATAAGTAGATAATAAATCAAAACTCTGAACAAATATTTAATTGTGAGGGAACATGATGCAAAGGAAACATCAAAACGAAAAAGAAAAAAAAAGCTTAAAACTTATAACCACAAGCACCCTCTTAATCATTTATCATTCCACGCATAGAAGTATCAACTCTCAACTAAACAAAACAAGATGACACTCAAGACATTGAGGAGAAGGAACAAAGAGAGGCTGAGACTAATCATTCTGAGTGAGGGAGGAGAACTGTACAACATTCCAATCGGGCAGCAACCAACAGTGAGATCAAAGAGGTTGAAAATCTTCAACATTTCAAGCAAAAATCCACATGAGAAGACATTTTTCAAACTTAGAAGCATAACAACTAGCAAGTAGCAATATAAGCAATACATTTGTTTAACCTATATCGATAACACTTAAAGGAAGAATAGACGCATCTAATAAAGAAACAAAACTCTTAAACAAATTTCTACATATCTACATATCTGTAAATCAAAATACTGAAGAAAGAAGGGATTTACCTCTTTTTGTGCAGCAAACCAAAACAACGAGCTTGAGGACTTCTCACCACCAGACTCTAAAAAATTCTTAAACTTGAAATGCTCTTTTAGCTATCCAAGACCCCTATTTCTCGATGAAGAATTCTGTGTTTTTTGATGGTCCAAATCCCTCTTTAACAGTGAAGATGACAAGGGTATTATTAGGTCGAATACTTTCATAACTGAACCAAACATAAATTATCGCTCAACTTCCAAATGAAATGGATAATTATGACACTATGATGGAATCACGGATGCAGTGAACAATACTAACATACTCATTCAATTTTTAAAAAATCAAACAGGAAAACCAAGTGCATACTGATTTAGAACAAAAATAGGGTATTTAAAGAGAGAACTAAACCAAGATCATGAATTATATATACTTTTGATAGTAAGCAAACACTATATATGGTTCGTATCCTAAGAGAAATTTCACATAAACAATAAATAAACTAGACAATGAAAAATTCTTTCAAACTTTCAACAAAAACAGTAAATAAAATCAGTAGAGCAACGAATTAATGTTAAGATCAATTTGATATCCGTAGGAATACAACAGTGCTTGAACCTATATAGATAACACTTGGAAGAAGAGACACATCTAATAAAGAAACAAAACTCTTAAACAAATTTCTACAAATCTGTAAATCGAAAGAAGGGATTTACCTCCTTTTGTGCAGCAAATCGAAACAGCGAACTTGAAGAAAAAGATGAGCTCTCGTGAAGAACCAACAATCCCTATTTGTTGATGAAGAATTCATGGTCCAAATCCCTCTTTAACAGTGAAGTGAAAACAATTTTCAATTGGGAACAGATGGAATTGGGAATTTGAAATTCAATTTTGAATTGGGAATGGATGGAATTGGGAATTTGAACGTTGATGGAACGTTGAGGGTCTGTTATATTGTTTGTGAATGTTTGAATTGCTGATGTTTCTCTTGAGAAGTAATGGGTTGATGGGTTGTTCAATGTTGGGCTAAAAATTGGGTTAAAATGTGTTTAGATTTTGTATTTTTTTGGTGATATGGTTTTCGATCATTCTTTTTTTAAAATCTTTACATGACCCTTTGTAATGACCTGGAAGAATAATACGTATAGCTTCCTCATGATCCACATCATTTTCTCAACATGAATTAGGCAATATTTTTTTACAAATATACTTTTAACAATTATGGTGGGAAGATGTTAAAAAAAATTGAGAGGCAATGGGTTTCATCTCTTATCCTCACCAAACATTAATATATATTAATTTTGTATCCTAATAATTCATCTCGTATCCTTACCAAACTTTAATATATATTATTTTCCATTAAAGTTGCCAAAAAAAAAAAAGCAACTTGTTAGGCATTGATGCCCAATAGCTCATCATTTATTTATTTCGTTACATCATTTTAATTTCTATATATTAATTAAATTGTGAATCAGTAACCGTCCAATTTTGTCTAAAATCTAACTAATTCCTTTTTAAAAAATTTGATTGAGTTTACTGGATCTCTCTTCAGACTGTTTCCTAATATAAACAAGTTGCAAGTGTGTGGCACCCCTGAAGACTTCCATAGTCCCAAGGACTTGTATGATTTTCGCTACTTAGATGAGCTCAAGGAATTGGAATTTTGTCTAACTATGGAGCGAAAACGACAATATATGCAACCTGCAGCCCCTTTGTTAGCAAGAAGTGGTTAGTGTTCCAAGCAGCTCTCTTTCAAGTCCTCATTGATCGAGAAGAAAAAGAAAGCCAAAGCCGTTCAGGATTTGAACATTGTTAGTAAATTGCCCAAACTTGAGTCCCTTACACTAACATATGATGCCTGTAAGTGCGAGGAGTGGGAAGGAGTTGACGAAGGCTTTCCTTGCTTGAAGTTCTTGCTACTCGACTATTTGGACATTCGGTTCTGGAGAGCCAGTAGTGATCACTTTCCCTGCCTAGAAAGACTTTTTCTTGATTGTTGCTGGAGTCTCCATTCAATCCCTCGAGATTTTGCAGACACAACCACACTTGCTCTAATTGATATACATGGTTCACAATCTGCTTGGAATTCCGCCAAGCAAATTCAACAGGACATGCAAGACAATTATACAAGTTCAATTGAGCTTCACATTCATCCATCCGGCTTTGTAAGACGTCTTCTTTCTTCATATAATTTTTGTTTCTATTTGTGCTTTCAAATTATATGTTCCTTAATTGTGGGAAATCTAACATACCATTTTTCATCCTTTCTGTTTTTTTTCCTTGCAGAAAGTGGTGACTATCTTAAGGTACACTGATTAGCCAGTTTTCCGAAAGAAATGTCAATTCAGAAGCCAAATGTGTGAGTGGTTGTTTTTGTTCATTTTCTTTTCGTATCAAATACTTTAGAATAGGGGCGTGATCATGAGTGCAGTTGGCTTGTAAACTTAATTGTATATGATCTCGAGTATAGCGTTTGTCAGTGTTTTTTTAAAGTACTACAAATTTTATGTACAAGAATGAGCATGCTATAGAAAGTTATTATTCTGTTATTTGGATAAACTCAAACTTGGCATCAGATTGCAAGTAAGCATTCTAACTTTAGTAAAGTGCATTTACTAGTTAATTGAGCTCAAGTTAAAGTGTCTATCTATGTATTATGCCTAAAAAAATTATAAGACAGATACTATATAAAAGATAATATACAATTCTACCACAAGCTATGTGAACTGGGATGAAATAGAAAAAACCCTACGCTAGCCTCTTCTCTCACCAGGCGACTCTTATGGAGTTTTAGGCCTCCATGGCTGAAACAAATTCTCCCCAGCCTCAAGCTGTGGAAGAGAGACTAGAAAAACCTAGTTATGCGTCTATTTCTAATCCATCAACTTGCACTCAAAAATCTGATGGAAAACTTCCACTAAAATTAAAACCTGTGATATATGTACATGGGGAACCTAAGGTGAGTTTCAGCTTTTCGGATTTGGAATCGTATATCCAAGAAGAGAACTTGCAATATGCTCTTGTTGCTAAGTTCTCTTATGGGAGACCTAATATGATTGATCTAAGAAAGATTTTTACACGACACTTCGAAATCAAAGGAGATTGCAATTTGGGACTACTGGATCATCGTCATGTTCTGGTGAGACGATTAACGAATCGGGAAGACTTTGTGGAGGTGTATTCTAGGGAAGTATCATTCATCACACTAAAATAATAGGGCGTGAATAATCAATACCAATGTCGAATTCAACGTTGGACACCATGGTTTAATCCAAACGAGGAGACACCAATTGTTTTAGCTTGGATTTCTTTCCCGAGTCTATCAACACAGATATTTGCTCATGAAGCCCTGTTTTCACTAGCATCAGCCATTGGGACACCCCTACAAGTTGATAAGGCAACAACTGGTAAGTCAAGGCCTAGTGTAGCTAGGGTAAAGGTGGAGGTTAATCTATTATCATCTCTTCCGAATAGAGTTAGAATGTTTTTTAAAGATGAAAAAACAGGTGTCATTAAGGAGGTGTTGCAAAAAATTGTATATGACAAATTGCCCTCGTACTGCACAACATGTAAACATCAGGGTCACAAGGAGGAAGAATGTAGACTGACTATGGAGATAGAAGGTGGACTGATTTATGAAACAAAAATTAACGGAGAAAAGTTTGAAGGAGATTTGTGATCAATTTTGGATGAGAAAAAGAAAGTTCTTTCTCTTCAACAAACTGGAAAAGAGGTAACATTACCAAATTCGTCTAACATCAATTCTGGAAAAAAATAGTGTGGATAACCTTAACAAGGAGAAATACGCAACAACAACTAGTCAAGAAAGAGTTAATGCACCAGGTCTCCTGCTTCTTACTGCAACATCTGGGCATAAAGAAGATACAGAAGCTATGTTAGTTGGAATGCTGACTAGTAAGATAAGCGAGCAACTTGGTGCGGCTGCAACGGGTTCTTCCACTCCTGTCCATATTGATGTTGAGGCACAAAATAATGCAGATAATAACTCTAGGGAGTTGATCGTTACATCACAAGTCACTACACGGCAGTTATTGTCTAGATTTATGAACGATGGAGAGTTGGGTTCGCCTAATGCAGTTGTGGTTACTAAATCAAGGCAAGATGAAGCCAAACAAGGCACCTCTACAGCAGAAAACCCAGTAATCAATGGACTTTGGTCTCACATAAAAAAATTGTTGACTTTAAGTCCTCAAATAATCACATGTTGCACCAAAAAAATTCTACACAAGTTGAGCTTGATAGAAGTAATAGTGTCGTTGAATGTACTCAGTTTGATGTGTCGCGAGATGGGAATTTTGGACAATATGAAGGGCTACATGGTACGGCTGAATTATCTGCTGAATCTGGGAATACTTTAGACTTGGAAAAGCAAATTAAGCAAACGGGGAAGTTGAAAGAACGATGTCATGATGATCATACTGATCAACAAGCTCTTGTGACACATGAAAAGGAGTCCATTGTAACGGAGGAGATAGATGGCAAAGAAATCAATCCAAATACACCTGCCATGTTTATTTCGAATCAAGAGATGGCAACAACCGATTTGAATGAAGCTAAGGAAAAACAAGGGGAAACGAGTGCTTCAAGATGGGAAGATTTAGTTGAGGCAGAGAATCATACTCCTACACCTAGTAGGAGTAAGTTAAGCACTCAAATTTGTGCCTTCAAGTAAGACAAATGCATCTATGGCAGTCTTAGATACTTCATCTAATTTGAGTGCTACAAAAGTAAACTTGGATAATAGGGATATCCTTCCTGACTTGGGCAGTGACATGTCTGATGGGGATGATGAAGATGATATGTTGGATATATGCTTTGATAAGGTGACTAAGGATGGGGATCTTTCACCTAGACAACAAAGAAGTGGAAGCACCAAATGCAAAAAGAAGACATATGGAAGACAACATAGTTGGGATGGTAAGGTGAGTGAGGAATTTGTTCCAAAGCACCTACCGATGCGACTGGCAAAGCAAAATCATATGACAGTGTCAACAACTTTATCAAGATCCAACAAATCCAACAAGAAGTGATGAACTATCAATCATTTGTGGACAAATTTGAAGAAGAAGATAAGACTTTAGACGGGCAAACTATCTTTTTTAGTTCATACATACATCAAATGAAGTTTGAGTTGGATAACTCATCTTTATTCTTGGCTTTTATATTCTTGCATTACTTAAGCATCCTCATTTGTAATATCATCATAGTGAGGATTATAAACCTAGTGATGATCATGAATACCTAGTTTTCTCTAGTTCTTATTTTCTCCATGCTTGTTAATTAGTAGAGATGTTATCTCATTAGGAATAGTAAGGTAAAGCCTAGCCCCCTTGCTTGTACTTATCCCTATTGATATATTTTTATTTTCAATAAAAGGCCGCTAGACGCTCTGTCTAGTGGTGAATTTGCTATCAAAAAAAAAAAAATCTATCTGAACTCATCCTATTCCAAAAAAACTAGAATGAAAACAAGAAGGAACAAGATGGCCTCTCGAACAGGTGAACTCTGAATCAGTGTTTCTTTCAAAGAACTAGATGATCTGTTTTGTCCTGCGGACAATAAAGGATAAAAATGAAATCCAAGAATCTGACAGGTAAAATAAGCCTTAGAAGTAGAATCAAGAACGAAGATGTCTTACAAGCTTAACGGATATGGACCTCAATAGAACTTGCATAGTTGTCTTCCATGTCCTGTTGAATCTGCTTGGCGGAATTCCCAACAGATTGTGCACATCGACATATATCAATTAGTGCAAGTGTGGTTATATCTGCAAAATCTTGACGGATTGAATCCAAACACAAGCAACCTTCAAGAAATAGTCATTCAAGGCACGGAAAGTGATCACTACTGGCTCTCCCGTACCTAATGTTTAAATATTCGAGTAGCACAAACTTCAAGTAAGGAAATCCTTCCCCAGATACATCCCACTCCCCGTCTATGAAGAAAGTATATGATAGTTTAAGGGACTCGAGTTTAGGCAATTTACCAACAATGCTGAAATCCTTCCATGGCATGAAGTTGTCCACTAAAAATTAATTTCTTAAGGTTTTGTGGAACAGCATCCAGAGGAGATAGGAGCAAAGGTGGAACAGGATCTCCACAATGTCGCGCTTCTCTCTGAAACCTCAGAGGACCTGAAGGTGTTATGCTTTCTAGAAAGAAAGAAGCAAGTGTATAACTAAGACGAAATTCCAGTTCCTCGAGCTTATCTAAGTA